GTATAGACCTACCACCGTATAGTTATAGTATATCTGTATGGCTGGATAGTTAAGGTATGTGGTGTAATTTTGGCAGGTGAGTCGGATCACCTATAATAACGCAATGAATGTTGGCGGGTAATGAGTTCGGTGAACGGCGTGTTAGTGGGTGTCTTTTGTGGCGTATACCCATCACATATTTAAAAATTAACGCCACTATTCGAAACATTTCGTTATTTATTTATCTGCAGACATATTATGTCTTGCATGTTAAAAGACATAATATAATTCCACAGTAAATATGTAACTATTCAGAGTGACTCATAGATTGATCAATAAAATGATGTGATGGATAGTGCCAAATCGAAGCAAATATGACTACAAAATTTAATATTATGGTATAGGTCTACCACCATTTCTGTTTAAAAACTCAAAATCAACCAAAAATGGTCAACTACCAAAAAGTTAGGCATGGATCACAATAGGGTAAACATAGGCCTACGCGTAACGTTTCAAATATATTAATAAAAGCCTACCTGTTATTCGAGCAAACTATTGTTTTCTGTTTTTGCATTGCAAGGCATATTACTGTCTGAACAATAATAAGTGGTAAAGGTGCCACACAATTAAGCTTTACTCCTACTTAAGTGATTACTATATATCACGCTGTTTTGGGTTTAATTTATAAAAGGATTATATTTCAGAGTGAGATTTAATATTTAAACTTCCGCAATTATTTGATCTATAACGGATAGTTTCCTATTTTATTATTTTCAGTTTTAAAGAATATTGTTCTATATTGTAGTTCTCGTATTATGTATAAACTAATAATGATATAGCCAACATTAATACTTTTTCGTACACAGGATGTCGGGAAACAGCGTTTGTTCATGCTATCACTAGTGGAGCTGTCGCACATTCGATTGCTAGAGCGTGCAGCGAAGGATCTCTAAATTCGTGTTCCTGTGACTACAGTAACAATAACGCAATTATTAAAGAGAAGGGGGATTGGCAGTGGGGCGGATGCAGTGATAATGCTCAATTTGGAAAAACATTTTCAAAGAAATTTGTAGATGCAGGCGAGAAAGGAAAGGATTTGCGGTTTCTTATGAATCTTCATAATAACGAAGCTGGACGACGGGTAAGTTGGTAGTCTACTGTACATGCACTTCACATAGGCCAGGCCTACGCCATTATAGTCTTTGCTTACTATATTGTCATATTGATATACATATATATATATAAGTGTTACGCAATGGCTATATATAGACAACAGGATGAGAACCTCAGCTCAACCCCACTTGAATTTTGCTTGGCAAAAAAAAAAAATCTGAAGCAGTTAAAAATAATCTCATTTTACCTTATTGTCAGCCAAATCCTTTAACTTCATCCATCCCCTACTTAACCTTCGCGCCCCACCCCATCATCCCCTCCCATATCAATACACCAGATACGCCACTGGCTCACAACTGGAATGATAACTAAACATATGTAGCTGTCACTTGGCCTTTGTTTTTTGTTAACTCGAAGGTTCTGTCGTTAAACATAATGTTTGTATTTCCCACTGACCTACTTGGCCGTTTAACCTTCGTGGTGTTCTGATCAAGCTGTAAACTCTGTAACTGTTGCAGTTAATTAAATGCGATAGGCAACCTAAACTAATTCTGAAATAGGCCTAATTGAATGCCGACAATGCTGAATAAACACCTGATTAAGAATGAACTTTTCTGCATGCTTTAATTAGAATTCAGAAACACCTAAATATAATGAGGTTATTCTCATGTTTCTTGCAGACGATCGTCTCTGAGATGCACCACGAGTGTAAATGTCACGGGATGTCTGGTAGCTGCACGGTCAGAACCTGCTGGATGCGTTTACCGACCTTCAGGAAAGTCGGCGGAATATTTAAAGACCGTTTTGATGGTGCGTCACGCGTAGCAATTAGCAACGCAGGAAATCGTTACCATGGAGATACAATAAAAAATCTGCAACCTAGCAATCCCAGTCATAAGCCGGCTACTAAACGCGATTTAGTTTACTTCGAAGATTCGCCTGATTTTTGTGCGAGTAACGGGCGGGAAGGAGAATTTAGCACACAAGGACGAGAATGCAATGCAACGTCATTAGGGCTAGATGGCTGCGAACTGATGTGTTGTGGGCGGGGCTATAGGGCAGAAGTCGTCAGTCTAAAGGAGCGATGTAGTTGTACTTTTCACTGGTGCTGTGAGGTGCAATGCGAAGAATGCACGACGGTGAGGGAAATCAACAAATGTTTGTGATAGAGTATTAACGTTCATAGAGAATGTCGCCAAAGTGTTTCGCTTTATATATTATTATTTAATTTTCCGTCTGCTGATGTTTTTATTTTCTTAAAAAAAGAATTTTAATTAAGTCAAATGGTAATATATGTATATGTATGTATATATAATTGTAAAATGTTGGAATACCATATCGTACGATAAATAAATTTTGCTATTTGAAATGAATATTTCAGGGCGAGAGAACTCTCTTTATTTTACTGTAATCCATGCAATTGGTGGTGTGTACGCGCAATTATTCACACCATCGTGCGCACACACATACACACACCCCCACCCACACATCCACCACACACCCTATTGTGTTCATAAAATATTTATTAGACCCTAAAAAAAAATTGTGTTGACCAAGTCTCCGATCCACCAAACTTTCTATAATAATATGCTTACCTAGTTGGACCCAAAAATACTTATATGATGTTCCAAAAGGCCACTTTCCAAGCTTTAATTTACAAAATCGAGAAATGAATTTACAAAGTCGAGACATGAATTATATCCCTCTCGTTACCATTTTACCAACCGAAATACATGAGGTAAATAACCATTAGAATTAGACCAGACCATATATACAAAAATATTTCCAACCGACCGACCGAATTTACTGTGGTTGGGCAAACACTGTGGTTACTAATTAACAAATAAGAATCTTCTTCCATTAATGTCTTATCATTTGATGTAAGGTCTTAGGCGCTAATACAGTGTAACCCTATCGCATATCTCTGGATTTGAGATTGTGTTTATATTTTTACGTTGGTATAGTATAAACTGTTATCCTTGTTCGATATAAACATAATAAAAACAGCGTCAGCCAATGGTGTAAATCAATTATTGTTAGGTCACAGGCGCTTTAGAGAAATATCTAACTATAGTTAGCTAACCTTTTATAGCACACTGCGCATTTTGATTGGTATACAAAAGTATTATATTGAAGTATTTATCAAAATATCTACTTTTAGCTACACCCAGAAAAGGTTTACACACGTGACTCCCAGCGGGGAGTGGGGGCAGGGGGATTAAGCCTTCCCATCGGTCTGGTCAAGCCCCCCCCCCCCATCGGCCAAAGCTCGTCGGGCATTCGGACCAAAGAATAAATATATGCCTAGTTTTCCCATCCCAGCCACCGGCCATCTAGAAGTCCCATTTTTTTAAAATCTCGTTTTGGGAGGAGGGGACACCTCCTTCCATACTCACCCCCGGCTCCGGCCTTCGGCCCACAGATAACGCTCCGCGCTATAGTTAAACCCATAAATACTTAGTCCCCCCCCTACTTAGGGTCCCCAGTCGGACACCTTAGCCCCCCCCCATAAATTATATCCTAGAGCCGCCACTGACTGCACATACATTTTTTACTAGAGTTCGACCAATAAATAAATCTTGAATATAATAATTATATTACATTATTTATTATATTTTGATATTTCTAGTAGACTTTCACATTTCACTAGCATATTGCTTGGTGTAGCACATGGATTATTGCGCGGTCTCTACAGTATTGTCATATAATCATAATAATAGTAAGTATTATTAGGCCTATTATTTAGCCCATTATTAATGAATATTAGTATTAATATTATCGTCATCATTATCCTTACCATTATCATAAAATTAATTGTTTGTTATTTTTTGTTGTTCTTGTTATTATATGTAGGCCTACGGGCTTATATAGGCCTATATAATATATATATATATATATTATGGGCCATATATAATATATATATATATATATATATATATTATTAGGCCTGTTCTATTATTAAATATTCTCATTAATATTATCATCATAATCATAATAATTATTGTATTATAGGAAGTTAGATTATAAAAAATCATTATTGATATTATTATTTAAATTTAATTAAAATTATTATTATTAGGTCTATATATTTTATTTTTATTACACTTATGATTATTAATATATTAATATTATAATTATTACTAGGCCTACTATTATTATTCCTATGGAAATAGTATTGGTTGAAAGACAGGTCTCGAGCTGAGCTTTCAGACTATTTTCTAGTTTCTTGTGCTGAAAGACCCTGGATCAAGTCCAGCTAGTCAGCTTCTTGGGCAAACGAGTTAGGCGGGGTAAGGTACAACGAATCAGTTTCATGCTGCGCTGTACTGCAGCTATCGCAGGTACCTGGGCCCAGCCACTTTCAACTTTCAATTTTTAAATATGACGAATAGGAAAAATGTTTATTTATTAACAAAGCACATAGTCAACACATTCAATTAAATATATAAATATATTTTGAATACACTGTACAGAAATCATACATCTTATGAATCGAGTGTTCTATCCAACTTCTAGGAACTCCTTCGGCAACATTAAATCCTCAGTTTTTACATTTGTTGTTTTGTTTTTTTTTTATATGCGACAATAAAGTTGTTAAGACCACTATGTCCACAAATGTTTCCAATAATTTTAAATATTATATCCATTGCATCGACTTATTGTGACATTAGCTCTACATATATCGCATTCCACAACACAGCACCATTTGAATCTGCATCGGCAGTGGTAAGTTCGATTCACTATTTTGTTTGTAAAACCACGATTGCAGCACATAATGTCACAGCCGTCCACGCCATCCGAGGTGCTATTACACACTCGGTCGGCCGTTCCAATCGAACCGACTTTTCTATCTGGCTCACAGAAATTTGGAGATTCTACAGAATAAACTAAGTCTGTTATAGTTGGTGCTTTTATATTGGATCCAACAGCCAATAATGTTTTTCCATTGTTAGCACCTGTTACTTTAATGGCACCGTTGAACAATTCCTTCAGTCGATTTCCAACATCCCGAAACGAGGGCATCCGTTTCCAGCATGTTTTCAAACTACATGTCCCTGAGAGTCCGTGACACTTACATTCAGTTCGCATGTGTAATTTGACAGCCTAATGATAAGAAATATTGAGATACATAGTTATAAATCATACATAGCTTATGTTAGCTACCACATTCTTCTGACTGTTACGGTATACGTGGGTTGACAAAATAAATCCTTGTCTCATTTTAAGATAAATAAAATCAATTTATATGATTATTTTCTGATGATTTATCAGTCATTTAAAACATTTATCTTAAATTTACTCGATGTGTCACATGGTCACAAGTTCAATTGTAGTGTTGGGACGACCTGATTTTATTTACGTAGACCTATAGCTTATGGAATACTATAAACAGTAAAATTATATGAAATATCGATGTGCTAAAAATATATGGTAGATTGAGTAGCCGCCAACTATTCCAAAAAGACTCTATTCTGAATCTGTCTCTTATACACATCTAGATGTGTATAAGAGACAGATATATAGGTGTGTTGCGCGTATGATCCACGTATAATAAAAGAATAGTGTGTGTTGGAGACAAACAAATTAACGTATTTCAGAACATTTATATTTTATGATTGTGAAGCTCAATTTTTAAAGACGATTATTTCTTAGGCCCTATAATTATTTATTTTCAAAACGTTTATCTTTTTTTTTTTCAGATAAGAGGTTTAGATAAGAGTGAGGTTAATTTGCTTGTTCAATGTCAATGGCACTCAATGTTTTGACACCGTACGCTATTACATTTCATTACATTTCTTTATCAAAGCCTTCATTTAAATTTAACAAAATATAAATCATCGGATTTACAGTAGCTGAAATCAGTAAATTAATGATTAACAGAGAAAGACAAATACATCAAAAGCAAGTTGGCCTATAATATTCAGGGGTGTTTTTAACACACCTAATCCAGTTACATGACCCGATATATAGGCCTATTCGATTTTCCTACAACTTCAAGGAAAATCTGACATTTTTATCACATAATATAGGCCTAAATAAAATATTTGGTGTATGACCATGTGAAAAAGGTATGAAAAGGGCCCATTCAATATCATACTTACATTGCTATGCAATATTTTAACAAATTAATGTCAGTGCCACCGACAACCCCCTTCCCCCCACCCAAA